CCCCTGCACCGAACAGGAGCCCAAGCCCGCCACTGCTCTCACTGCAGGCGCTGAGGTCCCCCCCCACCCACCACAGGGGACCTCAGCGTGGTGCCTGGGTCCTACCCAGCAGCCCGCCCACCCGCTGCCTTCTCTCCGCTCTCCTGCCATCTCACCTCCTCTTCCGCCCCCTTCCCCACCCAGGCTTCCGCCCTGTGGCACCTTCAGTCCTCTGCCTGGCGGCACCTCAGCTCCAAGCCAAGACCCTCAGACTCCTCTGCTCAGGTCCCCTCGCCCTTCTGCCCTGCGGACCCCGGCCCCGCTCCTGACCTCCTGACCCTCTCACTCACGGCCTTTCTCCGCAGGCTGCCCCCACCCCGCTCCCGTAGGCCCTAGCCTGCACCTTCTCTGTCCTCAGCTGGTCACCTGGCTGTGCGCCTGCTCCTCTCTCCACTCACCGTTCTGCAGGCCCTGGGGCAGGAAGGGGTGTGTGTGTGTGTGTGTGTGTGTCTGCGGAGGGACGTCTGTCAGTGTGCCTGGGAGTTCTGTGAGCTCTCCCTCCGTGGGCTGTGGGTGATCCCAGTCGGCAGCCATGGGAACGGAAATGATTTCCTTTGGGAGTCTGGCCGCTCCTCCCATTGAAACCACTTACATGCTGTATAGCAACCTGCACCCTGGGTGGTGGAGGCTTTCCCCGCACCTCCCGCTGCACAGCTGCGCTCGCCCGCCCAGCAACACCTGGGCCTGGGCCTGCCTGAGTGCACTGAGGCCTTCCTGCCCCGTCCTGCCCTGTCCACACAGGCTGAGTCTTCACTACTACAAAGATCGCTCTGATGTGTGTGTGGCTGAGACAGAGAGAGACAAGTCTGATGCCCACGGGGCGATCACACCCACACAGCCGCCCGCGGTGTCTGCGCACGGGTGGGACTTAGCACAGGAGCACTGTTTGTCTGAGTGACCTCACACTCGCCCCGGGCCTTGGAGCAGGCTGCCCCCCCGACACACACACAGGGCTGTGTGCCCTTGTGCCTGCCTGACCGTAGGAATATCCGCAGTCACTCAGGTGCCAGGGGCTGGCCCGTGTGACCACGGCCTCTGTATTTATTAGTGGCCATGAGGCTCCCTATGTTTGGGTAAAGCTTGCACGATGGTGAGCTGTGAGCTGACACTGGCATCTTTCTTCCAGCATAAGTGGGCCCGTGAGGGTTCGTACCTGCACCCCTCACTGTCCTGCCCTCACCCCTCTAGGTCAGCCTGGGGCAGCTGCCCTGCCTCCACCTCGACTGTCCTTGCTGCCTGGGAGAGGAACTGAGGCTGCAGGCACCCTCGGCCTCCGTCCGCACTCCTGTGTGTGACTGCAGGTCGCTCGGCCCGAATTCTCCATGCCTGCGCTCCTGTGGTTCTCCCCGCGGTGGCTCCGTTTCCCCTCCCTCCCCAGCTCCGCACTGAGGCTCTGCTCCTCTCCTCCGAGGCTGTCCACCCCTCACTGCTGGTCTGTGCGACAGCGTCTGCATCACCGCGGGAGCGGTCCCGGTCTTCGCTGTGGCTCAGGGACTATGTCCCTGTCTCCCCATCGCTCCGCTGGCCTCCTCGCACTCCCAGGCCTTCCTCTGCCTCCCTCAGTACCTTGCAGGGTCCCTGCTGCCCCGTTTCTTTCATGTCCTTATCCCTGTCCCTCCACTGTGCCCCTCAGACCTTGGTTTGTCCTCGGCCACCACAGCCGCCACACACTTGAACTGGGTCAGTTTGCATCCCTGTGTCCGCCTGTCCCCCCCCCCAACACGGCAAACCCCCTGCACGCGGGGCTGCATCCCCTCACCGCTGCGTCCCCAGGGCCTAGCGCAGGGCCTGACGCCTAGTAGGTCATCAATAAAGGTTTGCTGAATGCACTGTACCGTATTTTTCACTCTCTTCACTGTCTCTCTCCCTTACCGCCCCCCGAGACACTGGGGTTCCTTTTCTCTGGGTCTCCATGGTTACTTCTCTTCCTTTACCTAGATTTCCTAATAGGGATCTCTGACTTGCTCTTTGTGAAAACCTTGGTTTGTTCCTTGGTTCGGTCCTTAGAACAGCTCTGCCTACTTGTGAAGACGTGTTTTGGGCTATTTCCGGATCTTCTCCCCTTGATTTCTGCATCTGTCTCCTCATTTCCACCTGTCCCAATTCTGAACGCATCCTTTCCTCAACTGTCTAACTCTACCTCTACCCTTCCCCCTCGTCCCTTCTCCCTCAGCCCCAAACTGGACCGGGCCTTGCAGCCGTCCCACTCAGCTCCGCCCTCTCCCTCACACCACAAGGACCCCGGTCTCACCCAGGCCCTACAAAGCCCAGCCTTCCCCAAACCGCTGGTTCCTTTAGCCCCGCCCACCCGGGTCCCACCTCCCCAGCCACACCTTCTTGTAGCTTCGCCCCGCCCACAGCGGGATGACACTCCGCGTGGCCCCGCCCCAGTGCAAGCAGTGCTCCTATCAAAGGCTGCCTTGCCTGCCTCGCCCCTCCCACCACACTTCCTCCGTGCTCCCAGGCCACCCACCTACCTGCCGGGTACCGCTCGTTGATTGGCCAGCTGTCCACCTGCAAGGTGGCATTGCCACCGCTTCTAGTGAACCGCACCACGTGGTATTTGCCGTCGCTCACGATGGCGTTGGGCTCGTCGATGGTAATGTCGTCGGTGCCCACATTAAAGATCACCCCCACGGTGCCCTGGTCCTGAGGACAGAAAAGTAGAGCTCAGCGCCTGGGAGGGAACCTGTGACCACCCCTGGCCCAGCGCCAGGGCACTTCTCAGCTTTCCTGTGCACTCGCCCAGGCCTGCCTTTGCTGGACGCTCTCCCCTGCCCAGAGGGGGTGCAGAGCCTGGGCCCGGGGGACCTCCACCAACCACACCTGCCTCTTGCCTTTAGTTTATTCAGAATATTCACAAACGTGTACAGGGCACCTGCTCTGTTCAAGGGCCACTAGCCCAGACCTCAGGCAGGACGGTCAGGATCGCCACGGGGATCTGTGGGAGCACAGAGGGTGGGGCCTCCCTAAGGCACAACCAACAGAGAAGTCCAGGGAAAAAAAAACCCTCCCTGCGAGATTAGCACTGAGCAGGCGTGGGGGCTCCCCACCAGGGCCTCAGCACGCCTTTCCTGCAGCCCATCTGGCCGCTGGAGGTCAGGCTTGCGTGTGGGGAGCAGAGGTGGGGTCTGAGCTGTGTGTTTGGGGTGTGATGACAGGCATGGGAAGAGATCAGGGAGACAAACCATGCTGGACTTAACTGAGGAAAGGGGAGCGAGCATGGGGTGTGGGCAGAGGATGGGGCTGGGAGGGGGGAGGGCCAGGCAGAGGACAGACAGGGACTGAGGCTGGAGAAAGGGAGTAGTCGGTCTGAGCCACCTCTGGGACCAAGCCCAGGCCCCAGAGAGGCCCCACGTGGGAGCCTGCGGAGGCCCCCAGGGTTCCAGACCGGGAAGTTCGGTCGGAGGTGCCTGAGTGAGAGGGAGGCGTCACCGAACCCAAAAGCGTGCTCCCTTCACCCCACAGCAGCCCTCCGAGGAAGCTCACAGCACCCCCATTGTACCGAGGAGGAAACGAGGCTCCGGGAGGTTCAGTGACATCCCCAAATCTCACAGCCCAGAAGGAAGGAACCCCAGACTGAACCCCAGGTGGTCTGACTCCAAAGCCAACGCTCTCCCCGCTCATCCAGGGAGACACTGCTCACATCGCTGGGGGTGGGAGTGGTCTGAGGGGCTGCCGAGGCCAGCCCACCGTTGAACCCAAAGGTGTCTAAAGACGCCAGACGAAGGCCCACGAGGCCTTCACCGAAACCCCTGGTCCATGCCCCTCCCTCCCAGCCGCACCCCTGACCTGAGCCTCCTGCGTTCCCACGCCCCTCCCCCACAGGACCGGCACTGGCACAGGGTCACAGTCCGGCACCGAGCACACTGCTCACTGCACACCTGCGTCCTCCCGAAAGACTGCTCCCGTCCGGCCCGGGCACGAGGGACCATTCGGCGGCCACCTCCGCACCAGTGGGACCCAGCAGCTGGGTGGTACTGGGGTTGGGGATCGTGGCTCACAGATGGGGTCGGGAGTGGGGTTTGGATAGTTGGGGGGCAGGATGTGCAGCCAGGGCTCACTTGGACACCTACGCCCTATCCCTTCCCCACCTGTGGGTCCAGTTCTCCTAGAGCCTGGGAAAGCCACACACACACACACACACACACACACACACACACACACACAC